AAAAGAGAAGTGTCCCCACCAAGCTGGCCCTGCTGCCCTCTCCAGTTTGCCCACACACACCAAGAGGACAAGGACAGACTCCAAATTCAAGTAAGTTTGCGCCTGTGTGTGTGGAGTGTGTGTGTGTGTGTGTGTGTGTGTGTGTGTGTGTGTGTGTGTGTGTGTGTGTCATCTCTTTGTATCAGGACCTAGCTATGGATAATGGACAGCAAAGAAACTACCTTGGACAAAGACAAGAATAAACTACTAGAAAGCCCATTTGGCAAGCAGGGACAACAGTGTAGACAGAGTCAAGAGGTGCACGGGTCTCAGTTTAAGAGATGAACCTCGGCCTACGGACCTGGGCCTAAACCTGGATTCTACCTGGGAGAGTGACTTGGCTTACTCATTTACAAGAGGAGTGAGCAGCAATTTGACTCTATTTGTATAAAGGAAAAAAAACATATTAGGTGCTCAGCACACCACTGATTGGAACCCAGAGAATACATAAAGAAAGAGAAAATGGAGGGAAGGAGAGGGAAGAGAAAGTGACAGAGACACAGGAGTGAGCGAGGGAGAGGAGACAGAGGGAAGGGGAAAGAGAAAAGGGACACATGTGATAGAAAGAGAGGAGAGAGAAAAGACACAGCCTCCGCTAAACTAGAGGTTGGTCAGTAAACGCTATGGGAAGCCAGAGACAGTTGTACCCAAGGGGGCAAGACTTCTCAGATTAGAAAGACAAGAAGTTGGTGAGAGTCTGATATTCTGTAAGAAGCCAACTCTCTCATAAGCCCAAGTTGCCAGAGAATAGAGTGGCTAGGATACAGTGTTCCTGTTTCATCACTGTGGGGTGACAGATGGCTCACGCTCTGGTACTTGATTCCATGAGTAATGCTAAACTCACCACCACCACCACCACCACCCAGTATCAATCAGTGGGTTACTGAGCACCTCATATGTGTTTAGTATACAAATAGAGTCAAATTGCTGCTTACTCCGTTTGTAAATGAGTAAGCCAAGTCACTCTCCCAGGGAGAAACCTAGTTCAGGCCCCCAGGTCCCGCCCCCTCAGGCCTAGGCTCATCCAGCTGCCCAGGAGTAGTGATACCTCTAGCCTCTTCCTCTAACCACAGAATCAGTTTAGGATGCTGTTAAGCAAAGGATAGTTGACCCTCACCATCATGTTCCTAAGGTTCAGAGAAGGCATGCAACGTGCCCATAGTCACACAGCAAAGAGAGAACAGTTGTTTACTGTCAGGCTTGCTTGTGATATTTGCTGCTTTAAAACCCAAGTGGAAAGAGCTGGCTGATGCTTACCCAGCATGAAGCCGGGATTCCATCCCTAGTGCTGCATCCGAGGGACACTGGTACATACCGGTGCTCCCAGCACTTGAGAAGTAGAGGCAGGAAGATCAGACGTTCTTAGGTCTGAGCTTCATAAGACATTCCAAAAAGAAAACCGAAACACTGCCAGGAAGAGTTGAATTAAAAGTATGTTTTAATTTAAGAGCCAACGTAATAGGGAGAAGAGCTGGAAATGCCATCTCTGAGCCTGACACAAATGGAGCCCTTAACCAAGACTATAATCAGAGCCAGTGGCACTTAGAGTGCGTGCTCACGATGGATGTGCACATTCAAATGGGCCTGCCACAGCCCCACAGCATTGCTAAGTGTGCTAGGCAAGGCCAGGGATGTGGCTCAGTGGGAAAGTGCTTGCACCTACATAAGTCCAGGCCTAATGGTGCATGATTGGAGTCCTGGTGCGGGGAGATGAACACAAGAGGAGCCCTGAGACTCACTGGCCTTCCTACCCCACCCAATGCGCAAACTCCAGGCCCCTGAGAGATCCGACAAGGCTCAGTGAGTAAGTGCTCTTGTTGGGCAAGCAGCACCCCAAAGATAGGGAGATAGATAGATAGATAGATAGATAGATAGAT